CAAATCAAATACTGAATATATTGACCATCCATCCAAAAGAAAGGTCCGTGAAGAGAAACTCCCTTCCATGCACCCATCTGCAAGCCAACAGACTTATCACAGTTGATTTTGGCCTCTGACACCATCTTGTACTCTCTGATCTCTTTGCCAATTTTGTTAATATTGGCTCTGCTTGACACAAGAACCAAAACAATGTCAGCATATGCAGAGTGCATAGGACTGGATTTGTCTTTAACTTTCAAAGCAAAGAGTGGACAACCTTGATTAATGGAGTGGGACAAGATGAAAGGCTTTGATTGAACTCCATTAGCTTCCACTAGTGCAGGGTCGCATACAGAAGTTGGGCCCAAGACTGAAAATACAGCCCGAAAACAACAGCAGAAAGGACAGCCTCCAGAAATTGATGGTCAACCCTACTGAATCCCTTTGACTGATCTAAATTGATCAGTGTGGCTTCATAGTCAACTTGCTTGATGATCAAGCATACCAAATGAAGGTTGCCCTGAATAGTTCTACCCTTCACAGCACAAGTTTATTTGGAGCAAATCAGACTTGAGAGGACAGCCTGCAAATGCCTGACTAAGATCTTGGCTAAAATCTTCAACTCTGCATTTAACATCATCAAAGTCTGAAAACGATTTTTGTCCTTGTGTAGCAACTTGATCATAGCCCTGGTGAATCATTGAGGTATAGACCTCTGCTTCATCCAGTTGTTGTAAATCAGTTCCAGCAGAGAGACAAGAACAGGTGATTGCCTCACATACATTTTGTAAGGAAAACCATCTAATCTTGGAGTTTTGTCCTGGCCAACCAGCTTCAGTGCTTCCCAGATTTCTGATTCTGTGATGGGATCCTTGCACCCAGCTACATCAGTTGCCTTGAGGTGGGGTAGTTTGTCAAATACGTGTTGAACTGAGAAATGCTCAGACCGGTTTTTCTGGTGAACAGATCCTGAAAGTAGTCACAAAAAGCCTCACATATGCCTACATTTGTTGTCATGGTCTGCTTATCTGGCAATGTGACGCATGCGATATGTCTACTGATATGTTTCCAGCTTCCTCTGCATGCAATCCAGTGGCCGTATTTGTTGCCTCAAAAGTCATTCTTTTTAACCTAGATTTAACTACCAGAGCTTGATCCTTTTTGATAAGCAAGGAGGCCAACTCTGTCCTAGCTAAGGCTAATTCCCCACTATCACTGGATTTAATTGCCCAGTCTACTTTTTTCTCACATGCCATTTGTGCTGCTAATCTAACTAGATTATTAGAAAATCTCTCTTATATCCGGGTTTTTGGAGACTTATATCCGGGTTTGGTCTATTTTATATACATTAACACAGGCTCTAATTTGGGACTGCAAAGTAAAAAAAGATTTTAAAATAAAGTTGGTAAAATATGCTTGAGAAACATTCAATAAGTAAAGAGAAAATCTCTCTTATATCCGGGTTTCTCTTATATCCCAATTGAACAGCTGCTCTCTTGGCTTGAAGTTTTTATGTGTCCTATTTTTAGCTTCACATGTATTATGTTAAATTGTTAATGTATTTGTTTTTTATTTTTTGTTTTTTATTTTGTGTTTCAATTTTTTTTTTTTTCAAGATCGAAACATGCATGCAAGATATAATGCATTACATCAAAATATTACTCATCTATTCTTTATTAGAATACAAAACATAAAGTCTATATGCAAATACAAAGAAAGTTATAACAGTTTTAAAACAGTTAACGATCGTGTTTTTGTGCCCTAAAAAAAGATGCAGTGGCAGGGAGAACAATTCTAAAAAGAATTTAGTATGTTAATAGTTAAACTTAGCCCAGACCTCAAATAATGGAACTTGTTCATACGGCCCATCACTAAAGATGCTTGAAAAATTGTCCAGTAGGTACCTTAGTCAGATTAGACTGAAAATGAAATACTGCTGCCATCTATGGGTGGGAACTGCCCAGTCTTCACTTTCCAATGTCAATAGAGTCCAAAAGCATCTCTGCATCCTTGTGGGTGATGAATTATTTTCCACCCTACAACTGATTTCTCACAGATGAAATATCACAAGCCTCACACTGTTCTACTGCTATTTCTATGGAAGACATTCAGATGAAACACTCCTAACCTTCATGGCTAAGACTCACCATGTCATGCACATCGTAGCGCATGACCCTCATTCACTTCAAATTCCTTTGGTGAGATGAGTTTCCCTCAAGCAACTTCTTCCCATGAGCCACTGTCTTGTTGAACCAACTCCCAAGAGGATGCTTCCCCAATCACTACAATACACATATCCATATAAGCTGTGCTTCTTACTCTGTAACCCTCTACCTCAAGTAACTCTAGAGCCTTGTACAGGGGGAACATCATTGTAAAAAAAAAAAAAAAATATTGTGAATGCAACAACTTGCACCACAGTCCTGAATGACTACAGATATTATTTCTCCATTAATATTCTTGAGCACTTACAATTTTTGAGGAAAAATTAAACAGATTGATTTTTATTATAATTATTATTGTTGTTTTATCTTGATGCCTCATTTCTTTTGTTTACCATTGCATATATTCATACACACATTCATGTATTCATATATATACACACACACACACACACACATATATATATATATATATATATATATATATATATATGATGGATTCTCCCGTCGTTTTCAACATATGAGTGTCTTTTAGTTCAGTTTTTATGTTTGTTTCGTATGAGACAACAATCCTGCACAGGATTTACAAACAATTCCACACAAGGGAGATTCTGAAAGTCTGATCATCACATGGGCTGATGTATTAGCCTGAGATTTAGTGTTCATTCTTAATTCTCTCATATGGTTGAGACAATTCTTTTCAAAGTTAGTTAGTTATACCTCAGTAGCAGGTGTTTCTCCAGTTTGCTCAGTTTTCAACAGCAAGTTCAAACTCTTCTATAGGGATGTTTGCAGCATTTAAATTGTAGTTAAGTTTCTTCTTGAAGTGTAACCAAAGATGGCCTACATTACGCTTACCATGAAAACGTTGGCTATATATGAGGTTTCTAGGTATCCAATAATCACTCATTCTGATGACATGTCCAAACCATCTGAACTGTGATTGCATCAGAAAGGATTCAATGTCACATTTGATGAAATGATCAGGGTTAGAGATTTTGTCCTGCCATGTATAACCACATATTGAATGAAGACAGTGTTTACGAAAAGCATCAAGTTGCTTGATGTGTGTTTCATATAGTATCAAGTGTGGTGAGAATGACTGCTCAATAGATACTGATTTTTATTTTCAGTGAAGTCCCATGAATATCCCATAGGCAATGCTTAAGCTTCCCAGCTTTGATATTCAGTTATCTATTTTATCATCCAAAGAGGCACTGGAATTAACTTTGCTTCCTAAGTACATGAACGATTTCACATACTTCAGGTTGTTGTTGCTAACAGTAATGGGAATGATTGGAAAGGTATGGGCAGGTGGTTTTTGTTTTACACCCTTGACCTGCTTAGGTGTAGGCCTTGGTTGATGGACAACTTCAGTTTTCTTTAAGCTTATAGTTAATCCGAATGCATTGCAATTTGTGGAAAAATGCTTGACAAGTGCTTGAGCTTCTTCAACTGAGGTGGCCATAATCACAGTGTCATCAGCAAACAAAAGATCACTGATAATGCTTGCTTGAGTTAGCGATTTTGTTTTAAAACGTTGATGGTTAAAGAGGTCACCACTTGGGCAGAATTCAAAATTTACACCCATATCAAGATCACTAAAACCATTGTGTAGCATGAGCAAAAAATACAGGAGCCATGACACAACCATGTTTTGTGCCATTTGTTACATTGAAGTATTCTGAAAACTCTTCATTAGAAAGAACAGATACTTTCATTCCTTCATGAAATGAGATCATGACATTTAGCATACTTTCAGGTATGCTAAGCTTTTTGTGTACTTTCCAGAGGGCACTCCTGTTTACAGTGTCAAATGCTTTGGTCAGATTCCTAAAGACTTCTACAGAATTGTACATTTTGTTTTGATGTTTAATAAACAACTTCTAAATCAGGTAGCTAACAATAATGGTAATAAATGATTTTATTCAAAATTTCAATTTATGAAAAATCACTCCATTTTCTGTTCTTTTGGAAAATTTTTTGTACAAGGTAAAATAGATTTTTATAAAGAGAAAATGGAAGAAAAAAATGAGAAATCAATTAAAGGAAAAAGGGAGAGGAAAGAAAATAAAGACAAAAGAAAGCATAATAAATTAACCTTACTACCAAGAGAATAGAAAGAAACAAAAAGCAAAAGAAAGAGAGAAGTATATTCAAAATTACACATATACAAAGGAAGAGGAAAGTTAAGAAAATAATGTATCAGATGTTAATATGAGTTAAGCCAATGAAATTCTACTGAAAAAGAGAATTCAAATTTGAACAGAAATGAAACCTGAACAGATATTAATACATAAGCTACATTTGGAGATATATATATATATATATATATATATATATATATATTTATTTAAAAAATTATAACATAAATATTTATGTTATAATTTATAAATTATAACATAAATATTTGTTATAATTTTTAAATAAATAATTATATTTGCTCTACTCTGTATTGAGCACTCTTTTAAGAATAGTAATTGTTGGTTATTGGAATTTATTCCATATACACCAATCATATACTTGTGTGTGTGTGTGTGTGTATATATATATATATATATATATATATATGGTATTGTGACCAAGAGTTTGTGTAAACTAGTATTGTTCAAACTGTTGATCATGATAGATTATGCACTTTCTCTTTGAAACTCTAAGGTCTGCACAGCATAATTGCAAAACCACAGGTAGGCACTATGGGTGTTTGAGCAGGTTTTGGTGACAGTGATTGGTTAATACCTTTCCCAAGGGTATTTGCACATAAGTGAATATAATGAACCTGGCTGGGATTGGAACTCATTTCTCTGATTTTCAATTCCATCCTGTTATCCATTAGACCACCTGCACATCCAAGCTTATAGCACCTGGTATTCTCAAGCAGTCACCCATCTAGGTACTGACCAGGCTCAATGTTGCTTAAATTCAGTAATCGGATGAGAACCAGTGTTTGAATGTGATCTGGTCATAAATATATATATATATGTATATACTCACACACACAGTATATGGTTATGAGATGATATATTTTTCACCTACACTTAATTATCATTCTTTTAATTAGGCTAAAGGCCATACAACTTTCCAATCTATTTTTTTAATTACAAAGTCAGGCTACAGAATTATGATCATTATAGATAAAGTTTTTAACACACCAAAATTAAAAGACTTTTTCTTTTACACTATTCAGACTATTGTCCTCATCTTTGTTGCCATATTTATTCCAACATTTCGCCTGTTGTATGCTCTGGCCTTCTTCAGGTGGTTGGAATTTCGAACTGAACCCTTTATTTCGCTCACTGGGGTAGACTGTTCTAGTTCCTTGTGCCATATTTAATGGATGTCAGTTATCTCCTGTTAATTCCCCTCTTCAAGTTCTCCACTGCCTTAACCAGGTATTGAACTAACACTCTTTGGGTCCTGTCACTGGATCTAACGCCTTTATCCACTGTATCATGTGTCCTTGAGGACATCTGTGTCTGAATTTATGGGTATTATAAACCTAATGTCTTCAGCAACCTTTTTTACCAGTGCTCATATTGCAATTTTTTGCTGTTATCATTCCATGTTTTTACCAGAGTTCATATTGCAATTTTTGTTGTTATTATCGCTTTTCTCTGGCACTCTTTATTACTGGTTCCCATATAGTATTCATTTCTATGCTTGGTCGGCTCAGGAGATTTTTGTGGCCTAGCATATGTGTTGATTCCTTAAGTTTATGAATTTTCCAATGGTGTTCTTAAGGCAGTGGAGAACTTGTAGAGGGGAATTAACAGGAGATAACTGACAATTGACATCCATTAAACATGGCACATGGAACTAGAACCCAGTGAGTGAAATAAAGGGTTCAGTTTGACATTCCAACCACCGGAAGAAGGCCAGAGTGTACATCGTCCGAAACATTGTAATAAATATGGCGACAAAGATGAGAACAATAGTCTGAATTATGTAAATAGTGTACATAATACCTCATCTTGGAAATATAGACAGATACTTTTTCTTTTGTTGGTAATAAAATGATATAATCCATTTCTGATTGCCACTGAAAGTACTTTGGAGTTTCTCTCTTGAGTTAATCAGTGCTGACATTCTTCCTTTTTAATTGAGTTGTTTTGTTGGCTTTATTGGAATTATGTTAGATCCCTTCACAACATTAAAATTATGTTGAATTCTGCTCTTTTCTTGATGTATTTTTTGCATTTGAAATTTCCTACATGAAACTTTTTTTTTTTTTTCATTTCATTTCACCTCAATAAAGGCAATAAAACCTATGATGACACAATGGCTTACTAAGGTGAAAGGAGACTATATAGAACAGGATTTAATGAGACGGAAGATGTTGGAAAAATAAATTTAAATTGTTTAAGATTGTAGTTGACAGGAAAGCAAGAAGCTGGAAGAGAGTTCCACAAGCGAGAGATGCAAGTGTTAATGATTTGAGCCACAGAATACACATGAAATGACATATGGAGTCAGTGGCTAGGATAAGACTTATTGCCTGAAGTAATGAGGTCACCCACTCATCCCCTTGTGAGCATAACCCAGCCTTGGCAGCTTTGAACCACACTGAGAATCCATCTTGAAAAAAACAATGAAATGACATATGGAGTCAATGGCTAGGATAAGACTTATTGCCTGAAGTAATGAGGTCACCCACTCATCCCCTTGGGAAGAAATGATATTAGGAAGATCATTGATGAAGATCAGAAACATTGTAGGAACCAGGATAGGGCCTTGGGGGACACCTGTGTTTGTGTGAAAGGATCTGCAAGTGAGCCTGTTCAAAACAACCTTCATTTCATGATTTGATAGGTATGATTGGATTGAATTGAACAATCGTCTAGTACTACTGTAGTTCTGGAGCTTATGTAGAACACCAGCATGTTAAACAGCTTTGAGATATCTAGAGCCACAGCTTGAACTTCACTGTTATTATTAAGAGCTTGATATACATATTCAGTGATGGCCATTAGCACTTCAGCTGTAGACCTGGCAAAATAGAAGCCATATTGTTTGTTAGAGAGTAGGTCATGAGAGGTAAGATGCTTAATTACTTCAGCAATAATTAAAGCCTTGGATACTTTGCTGAAAAGCAGTAGGAGACTAATAGGGCGATAGTGGGGTCAGCATGTTCTCCAGAGTTCTTAAGAATAGGAGAACTTTCACCAAGCTGGAAGCAGTGAGGCAATAGTTGTAGAGTTTGAAGAGAACTGGAATCAGCTCAGGAGCACATTTCTTTAGGAGGATGGCTGGGATCCCAACACCTCTACTTGCTATGGAGTCTAATTTAGAAATGATTTCTGAAACTTGAGATGGTGTTATGTACATATCACTCAGTAGCACCTCTGTTTTAGCTGGGAAATCATGTGTGGATACTCTCAATGAATCATCTTGAGTTGGAAGAGTATTCAACCTTATCAGCTGTATATGTCAGGGCTTTGAATTGATTGAATAGAGGAGGGATTGAGGACTTGCTGCTGTTCCGCACACACTTGCAGAGCTACCAATAATCTCTAGAACCAAACTTGTGAGATGCTATATGTTGTTTCATTCTATCAGCAAACAGTGAGTTTCACTTCTTTGAGGATATGCTTGCACTTGTTATGAGCAGAGACAAATAAATATCTGTTGCAATCAGATATGTTGCTATGGTACAGCCAGAAGAAGTTATTCCTGTGGGTTATAGTGGCCGAGCATGCCAAAGAGATGAATGCAGTTTAACTTGGTCTTTCCTTGCTGATATGAAAGTATCGATGCTGGCTTTCACCCAGGAGGAGATCTCGGATGTGCATTTATGAACAGGAGAATAATGAATATGAGGATATTAGTCTAAATGTAAATAAAGTAAATAAGGCTATCCCCTCATCCCAGAAATTCAGGTAGAATAACAATAAAGATGAGGATATTAGTCTGAAAGTAAATAAGCAAAATAATAACTCCTCATACCAGAAATTTAGATAGAAATAAAGAGAATAGAAATTAGACAAAATGCCCATAAATTGAGAAAAATATAAACAATATCATGAAAACAAATTTATCCCCCCAAAAATAATCAAATATATCTGTTCTAAAGGAATTTGATGATAGTTAAGAGGCTCCCTTCTTTAAAAAGAATAATCTTGATAATATCAAAATATTTGCACGTTTGAACTTTTGTGAAAGAAACTGACAACATGAAGAACTTTTTAAAATGTTAAAAGTGCATATGAATAATCCATAATCTCCAGTGGGAACAAATGACTTGTATGTGAATAGATATGGAGTTAAGAGAGGAGACCAAAATAGAAAACTGTGGCAAAGATGTGTTTTCTCGTTGGAGCTATTTAATGTGTATAGCGAGGTGTTCCGAAGAGAATTAGACAAGTTACCAGGATTTATTATTAGCAGATGTTACCATAACAACATATTCTATGCAGATAACACTGTGTTGATGGAAGATTCAGAAGGAGAATTTGAAGTGGCATTGGGAAGACTAGTTGAAAGTATGCAAAAAGAACTGACCATTAATTGTGAGAAGAAGGTGAATGGTTACGAGTCGAAGTGACAACTCAATATGTGAGTTAGACCTGAAAGACATAAAAAAAAATGAGGCATCTGCAAAAATTAAACTATATAGTTAATTTCCAGCCTTGAACAGAGTTCAAAAGTGTTCCATGGCCTTGTGGGTGATGAATTATTTTCATATATACAATCCATCACTAAAGATTCCGGAAAGTACCCAAGTCCTCTTTCCATGTTTTATATTTACAAGAATCAGATCAAACTGAAAATAGAATATTGCTGCCCTATCTGGGCTGGTGCTACCCAATCTTACTTTCCAGCCTTGATAGAGTTCAGAAATATTTACATGGTCTTGTGGGTGATTAATTTTTTCAAACCTACAACTACTTTCCCATGGATGTGAAATTGCAAGCCTATCACTATCGCATGGCAAATGTTCAGTCAAGCTACATCCCTTAGTTCCACAAGTTCAGACCTTTACAGCTAAGGCCAACCGTGCCACAGACACAGGATTGAATCATCCTCATTCCTTTCATATTCCATTTCTAAGAAGGAAGTTTCACTCAGACAAGCTTTTCCCAAAGAACCACTACTTTGTAAAACAAACTTCCGAGAGAATGTTTCCCCAATCACTATAAACTTAACCTTATGGCCAACTGTTATCTAGTCTGCATATTTTGCACTTACTTTCTTTTACATCCATACAACAACCTCTGTCAGTAATCCTCTATCTTGAATGGTTCTGGAACCTTATATTGGGTAAACATTTGGTACTAAAAAAATGATTCCAGAAAGTGTGATACTGAAATCTAGATGTACATAAGAATAGTGAAAGATGATTTCAAGAAACTAAGTAAAAGTATTAAGAGATCAAAAAAAGAAAAACATAAGATTTCAGGAATGCTATGCAATATCTAATCTTCTCTATTGGACATTATTTATTAGGTTTCGGCCGTTGAACACTCCAGCCTTCTTCAGGTGGTTGTAATAAATATGGCAACAGTGATAAGGACAATAGTCCGAATAATGTACACAATACCTCATCTCAGAAATATAGACAGATACTGAAGTGCTGAAATGTTGTAATAAGTATGGCGACAAAGATGACGACAATAGTCCGAATAATGTAAATAATACCTCATCTCAGAAATATAGACAGATACTGAAAGGCCGAACGTTGTAATGTATATGGCGACAGAGATGAGGACCTTAGTGCGAATAATATAAATAATGTACATAATACCTCATCTCAGAAATGTAGATAGATACTGAAGGGCAGAAACATTGTAATAAATATGGTGACAGAGATGAGGACAATTTGAAAGAGAGTGAACCAACTTAAACTTCAATAAATGAAAGAACAAGTACTAGAAAGTCAGAGTGGGTTTTGCTCAGAGTAACAAAAGGTAGGAAGCTGTGGAGAACCATAAACACATGTTCTGAAAGAACATAGCACATTGAAAGA